CCTCTTAAAGAAAAGCCTCAACAGTGCAATATAAACAAAAAAAAATATGAAATGAATCATATTAAAATGAACATATTTTCATAAGAACCTCCAATTGCTGACTGATACACGTGGGTTTTCAGCCAAACATTTCCCTTACAAAGTCTGTTATTACACACTTCAGAATCTCATTGTTCTGAGAAAATTAATCATAATTATGTTCCATCTCTTCTTTGAGAAAGACCCTCAGGACTTGACAAGCTTTAATGACCTCATAAGGTATGAGAGTAACTTATGCAGGAAATGCAGTCAGTGCTGCCATGGAGTCTGGCAACTGCTTAGTAGCAAGTCAGCCATGCCATATGGTATCTTGGGTGTAGGAGGAATGGAAGTATCTGTTGAAACAGATCTAGTGGTGAAATGAACAGTGGTCCCAATTCAGAGGTCCCGTAGGACCTTATAAAGGATGGCCAGAGAAGTGCTGTAACCCAGCTCCCTGGATCAAAGTGTGCTACTGACTCAGAAGGGCAGAAACATTACATCAAGGAAACACCTGCAACAGTCCCTGCAGTACCCAGAGAAAATCAGTGCAGAAATGTTATTTATTTCCTGCAATGTTTCTTAAGATTCAAAGCTTTTCTTAGCCTCCCCTGTTAGAGCTGTTCTGCTTTGAGGAAGTCATGAGATACTCAGCATGGCTGAGAAAGTCCCAGGATCTGTTGACCAGGGTAGGTCAGAATTTTGTCTAGCTTTGAGAGTCTTTTCCTAATGAAAGCTTCATTTGAGAATTCCTGCCATACCCAGTCCTGGTTGGTTTACAAGATGAGATAAAAACAGGTAGGAGGATGGTCCCCTTCATGGTTGTAGCCATCTTGTCTGTGGGATGGTAGGTTCAGGATGGTAGGCTCTGGCTAAACCTGTGGGTTTGAGCAATGTGAAGCATGAAAAGAGCAGTGATTCCAGCTGGCATCTCTGCATGGTAGTACAGTGCTGTTACCAATAACTATGCTTAGGGCTGACATAACACTGAATTGTATCATTAAAGATGCTGGTGTTTTTTTTTTTGTTGGTTTTTTTTTTTTTGTAGTGTTGGCTAAACAGCAGTTTCCTTTACTTCTCTGCAAACTAAGTCAAAACATCTGTTTTATGTCATGTATCCCCCAGCACTGGCCAAACAACTCCAAAATTAAAAAAAAACAGTTCTAGTGTTCAAATCTGTTTTCTGTTTGATGAATGCTTGATAGCAGCCATCTTCATGTAAAGAGTCACTGCAGTGCTTACATTTTAACTTATCACTTGAGGCATCAGTTGAGGTTGGAAAGTTCCTGGACCACCGAGACGCAATGTGAGAAGGGATGCAGGATGTCTAAGATGTGTGTCAGTATACATTGCTGATTTGTTATGTGCCTTTCAGCAACTCTTACCTGCTTATAAAATAGAAATTTAAGAAATAGCTATCAGTGTCTCAACAGAATGCTTTGAGAGTGGTAATTAGTATTAGTGAAGTATTTGGTATTCTTGGATAAAAGGCTACAGAAAAATATAATTGTTATCCATTATGTTGTAAAACAGATCCCACTCCATTCCTAAATACTCACTTCATCCTAGGCTGATAGCAAAAACTAACAAGCTCATAAAAAAAAGGTAAGATACAGTTGCCTGGGGACATTCTTAATCAGAAGGTCTTTCCTCCTCAGATGAAAAAGACGTCTACAATGAGCAATTTCTCTAGCCAAGAAACAAAGAAAAGGCTTCTTATGCTTAGTTAGATAATGGGGGTAATTACTTTGCAGTGAGACGGGGTGTGGGAAGAAGGCTGTGTGATACAGGCATCTTACTTCGTAGCCACTTAAATGGAGAAGGAAGCCAAAGTTCTGTGGCTAAATCAAGGATCAGAAGTTAAAGGTCTTTATCCTGGTTGCCCCATAGCTGAGGAAGTTATTTAATCATCTACTCAAGTCTTGGTTGCCTTTTCCGCTGTCTACCCTGTACCTTTTTGCTACAAACCACATTTCAAGCATTGTGTTTATGGTTCATCTTCACTTCTGCTGAGCTTCCCATCCTCAGATCTACAATGATCACTTGTAATCTGAGGAGATTCAGCAGTAGGGACCTGTAAAACAAGTGTGCACACAAAACCTGTAACTCTGGGAAATAAAGTAATTCTGACCTTGTATTTTAACCCACTGGTGAAAACTAACCTTTCCTATGTGCTCTCACTTAACTGTTTAAAAAAATGCCTGATTGGAAAGGTATTGTTGTTCTTGCAGATGATCTGCCTCTAGTAATACCTGTGGGATGAAGCTACCTGGAGTAGGCATGCTACAGCTTAACTGGGGACACATGCTGGTAGTGATACTCCTTGACAATCTGAGCTTGTGGTTTTCCATAGCTCTTACCCAGTATCATGACATCAACCTTTTTCCATTAACTCATCCTTTCTGCAGCTCTGTGGTTTCCTGTGTTTGTTCCAGTGCAAATTTCCTTCCATCCACAACTTTTGTTGTGCAGCTTTTACTTTGGGAGGCAATAATTTTGCCCTTGTTTTGATGACTGTGAACCACTGAGGGCACAAAAAGAATGCTAACAGCTAACACCTTACATTTCCAAAAGTCCTACATACTCTTTCTGCTGCCATACCTGAGACATCTAAAAAAAAGTGCCACTTCAGCATATGAGGCACCAGGAAATGTTGGCTTAAAATTAACTTTACTGATCTTCTGTCTCTTTGGCAGCCTGAGGACATGAGCACAAGCAGTCTCCTATAGCACGTGGATGACCATGGTTCTTGCAGCACCGTCTTGGAACCTGCCTGAGCATAGCTGATGCAGGCTGCAAGCGTGCCTCCTGCTGCCTTCACTGCTGCCACTTAGGCTGGCCTGGTGAGTAACGTTGTGGGTGAAAGCTGCCCTGCTCCTTGCAAATATTCCAGCTGAGTTTTGCCACTTAATCAAGTCTCCTCGGCAACTGCACCCAAGGGAGGAAAAGGCAGATCATGGAGCTGCCGATCCAGGGTAAAAGCTGCTGCTGTTTCTCTCCGTGTCTCAGCTGTTTTGCTTGTTATCCCTCTGCTCCCTTTGATCACCTGGTGCAGGAAAATGGAAAGGGATGGAAGTCAGACCAGGCTCTATCAGTAGGATAGCTCCCAAGACCTAGCACCTCCTTGTGTGGAATGTTTACCTTGTCTGGCAGATCTGCACTGAGCAGCAAAATCCCTCGGGCAGAGAAAATCCCAGACTCCTGTCTTGCTGGAAGCATGTTTTCAGGTGGAAACATGAGGCTGGCTCTGGGAAAGGAGGATGTGTCACATGGGGAACAGGGATGAGCTTAGCTGTCTGTTGAGTTAGCTTCTGCTGCTTTCCTGGGCATGCTTTGTTTGGCCATTCCTAATGGATGATATTCCACCTAGCCAGCAGTCAATACAAACTAATACTACAAAATAAGGCGCTGATCCTGCAAGAGGTTCCTAACAGAAGAGTTTTTGTGCCTGTGCAGTATTGATGGACGTCAGTTGGGCTATGGAGGGGTGCAGACAGGTTTTAGATTTCGGTACAATCCTGGGGCCTAGCCATCACCAAATTCAGCTCTAAGCACTAATTCTCTCCTTCTCATACTTGATAGGACATATACTTTTTTTTTTTTTTTTTTTTTTTTTTTTTTTTTTTTTTAGCTAAGCTTTCTAGAGATAATGCAACTTGTACATTTTTGCTTTGCAAAACAAGCAAATGTATTTGAGACTTCTGAGGACAATTTTAGATACCAGTTCCTACCAAGAAAACCAGAGTTGGTTAGAATCATAGAATCATAGAATCATAGAATATCCTGAGTTGGAAGGGACCCTTAAGGATCATCAAGTCCAACTCTTGACACCGCACAGGTCTACCCAAGTTCAGACCATGTGACTAAGTGCACAGTCCAATCTCTTCTTAAATTCAGTCAGGCTCGGTGCAGTGACCACTTCCCTGGGGAGCCTGTTCCAGTGTGCAGTTAATTGTGATTCTGTGAAAACTTCTGGGTCAAACACCTGGCTCAGGTTCCTTTGTGTGTTCATTAATTGTTTTGTTTTATTTTATTTTATTTTATTTTATTTTATTTTATTTTATTTTATTTTATTTTATTTTATTTTATTTTATTTTATTTTATTTTATTTATCATTTTGTTTAGATTTCTAAAATTGAGACAACTTAAAAAGCACATATGAAAACATCTCTTCCAAGGGTTTTATTTTGCCCTAGAGACCCTACTGTATGAAAAAAAGTCCATGGTATTGAAGAAAAATATGCGTGATCTGGGGAGAAAACTGCCCCATGATCCTCAGATTAACTCTTCTTTCCAGTCAGGGACACTCCCTTCATTCTTTTGCCTCGGGTTTAAATGGACGATGGTATCTTCTCCAGGCTTATGTGGTCAGTTAAGCTGATGAGAAACCACAGGAATATCATTGTGTAGGTTTTGTGATTCTTGCACTACTTTGTCATGGACTTGAGAGTCTTGTGATTGAGAACATCATGATTTCTGAAGGTATAAATACCCAGTGACAACCCATGTGCTTCTGTTGACTACAGAGAAGACAGGAAACAGACAACTGTGTAATTTAATTGCTTCAAGTGCATAATTTGACCTGAACATTGCAAATCGAGGAGCCCTTGTGTTTTAATGCTTAGTTTCCCTGATACCCTGTTACTGTACAAAGTGTATTCTGAACAAACACTGGATCCATTCCACATGCTCCCTCACTGCTGCCCAGCTGCCACCAAACTGGGCAGAAAAATAGTAAGCAGCCCCTCCAGAGACCAGAAGACCACGGGTTTTGGTGCCGGTGGGACAGTGGTGGGATGCCGTGAACAGAAATACCCAGACGTGTGCCCACTCCTTGGCACGGCCCCTCCCTTGCCCAGCTCCGCTGAAGCAGGTGGGAGCAGCCGAAGGAGTTGCGAAAGAGACGCGGTGGAATCGACCTGTATAAAATCTGCCTTGGTTTAAATCCCTGCGGATTTAAGCTTTGGATCCAGTCACTCACCAAAACTCCCCTCTGCCAAGTCGCACGTTTTGGCCCAAGGCCCTGCGGCCCCCCAGCGGGCCGGGCTGCGGGGCCACACCCGCGAGGCCATGGGGCGCCCGGGCGGGCCTGCGCGGGCAGAGCGGGGCGGGGGGAGAGGGGGCTGCGCTATTTTACTTTACATTTTATGTTATGTATATTTTATATTTCATATTTTATTTTATTCTATTCGCCAGCTTCCTTCACCCAACTGCCGCCGCGCCGCGCCTCTTCCCGCCCCGCTCCGCCCCCGCGGCCGCGCATTGTGCGACACGGCCCGGCCCGGCCCCTCCGCGCCGGGAGTGGGGGGTGGCTGGAGGCTGGGGCCGAGCCTGGGGGCTCCCCTCCACGCTGGGAGGTGAGGGGCGGGCGGTCGGGGGGCTCCCGGCTTTGTTCGGGACCGCTTGAGGCAGGGGGGCTGGGGCTGGGAAGGCGTCGCGGCGGGGTCTGCGTTTGGCGCTCATCCCCTTTCTTGTAGGGTCTGGAAGAGCTGCTGGTGGCACCGGGATCCTGCGGGTCGGCTGCTGGAAGCCTTATTCATGCAAGTAAGCTCCGTGTGCGCATATAGGATATACTTACCCATTTATTTATTGCAGAATTATTTATGCTTTTATTTGTCAATTGCAGAGAAGGTGTGCGTGTTTCCATCGTGTAGTGGGTGATGGTCTTTGGTCACTGCAGCCGTGTGCATGTGTCGTGTGAGGTCACTGCTGATCAGGCGAGCATCGATAAAGGTCCAGTGTCGTCATTTTCCCCGGGAATGCATTAAGTTGGATGCACACCAGCCTTTTAATACTGTGGAGGGTACAAGAGCAGGCAGCCTGAGAAAAGGGAGTGAGGAAATGATTTAGCTTTTCTACTGCTTCTGATTTCTAGCCGGTGTGCTTTTAAGCATTTCATTTTAAATCACAGGAAATAATCCGTTTCTGCATCTGTCAGGGTGGTGATTAATTATCAAAAGATAAGTCTAAATTTTGATGCTTCCTTTGAAATAAATGGCTTTCGTTTTTCTGTCTCACGAAGTCTCATGCACAGATGAGTTTCCTAAGGGAAGAGAGGAGTGTTAGGTGATGATGAGGCAGCTTCCTTACAGTTTGAATAAGAGAAGTAGTACAGTATAGGCCAACTATACAATAAGACACACTTGACATCTAGCAGATAGGTGGATTTAGGACTGTGGTGCTACCTTGCAAAACTATTCCTTGTTCATAACTTCTCCCCTAACCAAAGAATAGTGCTTCTGAAACTTAGTTCTGGGAGTCAAGTGAATGCTTTGTATAACCCCAGTTGTTGGTGATTGTTTTTTTTTCTTTCCCATGGTAGTCTATTCATATGTTACAGTGAAACATGTTGACAGGGATTTCATATTTATAATACACACCATTGGTAGAATGACAATGCTTCATCTTTCTTATTAATGACCTAATTAGGGGAAAAGTCTGGAAGGAATAGGGAATTACGACATCTTCTCAGTGGATATGCAATAAACAGATACTACAAAGCAGACAGTGTAAGAGGAATTTCCAAAAGAACTCATTGCCCAAGACAGAGCTGGATTTTTAACACTCATAGGTTTGTGTTTAGGCTCCAGAGAAAACTGCTAGATTCTCAGTACTTTCTTTTTAGTTCTCAAACTTTCGTATCCAAAGTTCTGTGGGAGACCTTGATGGAAACCTTACTGTGTCAGCCAGTAGTGCAGGTCAAGTTCTGAGTCTTCACCATTTCAGAAAATCAAGCCCTGAGCAGGTCAAAGAAAACCTGATCTTTACAGTTACAGTCACTCCCCTCCTTCCCCAACTTCTGTTCTAGAGGCATTGTCTTTCAATTTTTATGGCAGATAGAATTAGTTGTAAAATGTAGCCACAATAAAGTGAGCCAGCAAAATTATTGTTTTTTTGTTTGTTTGTTGTTTTGTGTATGTGTGTAAAAGCCAGCGTGATTAATGAACAACTTCATAAACACATGATAGAATGCAAGACCTGTAACAGAACTGTAAGTGGCAATTACTCTTTGCACAAAAATAATAGGTAATGGCTAAAAATAACATTTCCTGTTTCAACAACAGAGTTAAACGTTGTAGTGGGTATTAGCTGAAACAAGGTAGATTGGTCCAGAGTTGGCAGCTCTAACAATCTGTGCCAGCTGGCACTCTGGCCTATTTCATTTTCCTTTAAAGCATCATTCTTGCACGTGTGTTTGTTAATAAACCACAGATGCAAAGCAAAAAGGTCTTCACCAAAGGGAAAATCAGAGCTTTTTTGCTGCACAGTAGTGACATTATAATTTCTGAAGCATGTTCTGATCTCACATATCTCTGCGCAGATAGCTGAGCTGTGTTCAGCTTTTGCCTAGGTTGGTCCTGTTTGTGGGAAGGAGCATCCTTGCTCCAGAAGGAGAGCGATTCGGTCTGGTTCTGTGAGGTCAGAGGTTGGACTAGGTGATCTTTGAGGTCTCTTCCAACCTAGTTGACTCTGTGATTCTGTGATCTAATGGGTTTAACACTACTGATAGAAAAATGTCTTTATCAATGGAAAATTTGCCTTTCCTATAGCCCTGGCCACAGTGTCTGAAGGAACTGTTGAATTTTGAGAGCTGGTAATTATCTGGCTACATCTGTGGTCCAGGACTCATTGAGCACAAAGAAGAGAGGAAATGACAAATGGTTGTCCAGAAGCATGTCTTCCTGGTGCTGTTTGCTTTCCCTATGGTTTCTTAGGACAAGAATGGCAAATTTGTGTGGGAAAAAAAAAGTGATTAATTATCTAGTGTGTATGTAGGCCTTCGAAGATGGGAAGTACAATATAAGGATTGTTTGAATTAAGTGTTGCTATTCATTGCTGTTATAGACATCACTTGCCTGTTCAAGATTTCTGTGTTTCAAGTTGTTGGCAATTTTAAAGCATTGTTTAAACAGTGGTTTAGATCTGTTTCAGCAGAAAGGTCAGTGAAAGTCTTTTAATAGGGGGAAAAATAGGTAAAGATTTTTCTGTTCAAGTGTTTTTTTCAGTCGCTGCAAGATCCATGTATATGGGAGAGGGGAGGAGGGAGCTGAGTGAGGAGCTGTGGTGTGAGGTAAAATTCTGATGGTGTTCTTTCACGCCATCCTGCAAATACATTTGTATTTAAAATTTTCAGGCAAGCCAAACTGTAGGACTAGTGCAGAGTGCTAAATGAAATGTGACAGCTAAATCAGAAAATGCCACATAATGATTCTGGGAATTCCCTTGCTTAGACAATTGAGTTTAAGGCTGATACTTGTAGTTATTACAGATCTGAAACAAAGACAGGCATGGGGAAAAAAAGAGACGTCCATTTTATTCCAAGCTGTTTTCACTTCAAAGATGTTTACATTCTGTCATGTTACCCTGTGACTGCTGGAAGGCTCACAGGAACTGTAAAACCAAAATCCCTTCCTGCCCATCAGCTAGCCACAATATATGCCTTTGTGTTGCTCAGGCTGAAATTCAATCTTCTTGAGAGGCTGAGGAGCAGTTTGGGGTGCAGTATTGAACCGAGAGATTATGGGTATCATTACAGATGTACCCTTTATGCTGCTTATGCAAGCAGATAAAGCAGAAGCTCTTTTGGGAAACTTCGTGATGTATGAGAATAAAATATAGTCATGCTCTATTCTGGTGTGATGCGGATATCACACTGATGACTACCAAAGAAAGAACATGAAAGACATCAGAAGAGCTCGGTGTATTTTACCTTTTCACATGTAAAATTTTGGTGTCTGCAGTCAGTGGCAATGAATCTTCCTGCGGTGTGGGCTGACCAGCAGTGCAGAACCATCTGAAGGGACTGTGGGGTGGAAGTAGGACAGCCAGATGAACGGTAGGCTAGCATGAGTAGTGGATGTGAAAGGACACACTGAAAGTGACAGGGCTGAAATGAATCGAGGGCCTGTGACCAGACATGGCTGTTAGAAGTGAGATAAGGCAGTGCCATTGTCTGCGATGTCCTGGTTGCGAATGGAAGAGCAGTAGACTTTGTGTGTGCGCTGTGGCTGCATCTGGCTCCCTGGGTTAAGTAATAATTCAGAAGGCTCCCTGGGCCTTTTGAAAGTTTGAGAGGGGAGGGAAAGAGCTAATTAGGAGATTGAAGGGACTGACTATGAGGAAATGCTTAGTGTGTGTAGATTTTCAAACTGATGACTGAGTTGAAGCAATGATAGCGACAATTTTAGGTGCATCTACTTGAGAGAGAAGCACTTAAGCTTTTGCAAGGGTGTGTAACTAGACTTGATGGGCTGCAGATGAAAATGGAACTTGAGCATCAGAAAAGCTTCTTGTTGGAATGATGCTAAATAATCTTCCATGGAAAATGCTGGTAGCTCTGTTGGTTGTGGTTTTATTTTTTTTGCTGGTTTGTTTTTTTTTAATAGCTCCTGGAGAACCCTGGAATATGTCCTTCAGGGCTGGCAGCTCTGCCCTGGCTGAGCTGTTCCTGGGGATTGGGGGGGGGACTTCAGAAACATTTCTTAGTTAACAGACTGGCTCCACTGCTTGGAGTCAACTTCTGAACTCCCTGGAGTTGTCTACCAAAAGGGACAGGGTCACTCTCTGCGAGCTTGGGTTAGTGCCTGTAGGGAAAGAGATGGATTGGATGAATTAATAGATCTCATTCCATCTTTAGCTTATAGGAGCCTGTGGTCTAGGAAATACGTGAACATGTGTCTTGTTGGCAGCTGAAATGCATGCCAGTATTCTGTAAAACAAATGCTGTAACTTATGCTATGCCTTTTTGGTCACACAGCAAGGGAAGAGGGAAGTGATGGAAGACACTTTCCTGTGTTGAGCACAGCAGCTCAGACTAGAAATATTCCTTGGTTTACATTGACTCTGATATTTTGTGTTCTTGGATCCATGTTATATTACCTTGAGGAAAATCTGGAAAGTAAAATACTTCGGGCATTTTCCTGCTCTAAGTTCCAACCATTGACACAACATTGAGCACTTGCCGAAATGTGCGAAGTAACTTCAAAGGAATGTGCAGCTATTCTGAAGTCTTGGGCAGTGCACAAATGGAAGGGCTGAGAGCTGTGATCCGAAACACACTGCAGCCAGGGGAGGGATGGCTGCTTTGGACAAATGCCAGGATTTTTTCAGTCCGAGATTGTACGCTTGATGGTTTGAATTTAATCAGTTTATTTGGGATTGATGTATTATTTAGAACATGGTTCCAAGAATATGAAGGGGTTGCGATTTTGAACATAAAGCTAATCAGTTTAGTGGCATTGCTGTATAGCAGTGGTTATTTTCCTGTTCCTCTCTTCAGATACAAGGTGGGTCTGTTCAAGTGTCGTGGTTTAACCTGGCCGGCAGCTAAACACCACGCAGCCGTTCGCTCACCCTCCCCCCTCCCTCTCTGGGACGGGGGAGAGAAATGGAAAGTGAAGCCTGTGAGTTGACATAAAGACAGTTTAATAAGACAGGAAAATAATAATAATAATAATAATAATAATAATAATAATAATAATAATAATACAATGATGATAATAGTACTACTAATAATAATATGTACAAACAAGTGATGCACAATG